TTTACTTCATCTTATACACACATTAACAATAATACCCAATGTCTTACTTTATCTTATACACACATGAACAATAATACCCAATGTCTTACTTTATCTTATACACACATGAACAATAATACCCAATGTTTTACTTCATCTTATACACACATTAACAATAATACCCAATGTTTTACTTCATCTTATACACACATTAACAATAATACCTGATGTTTTACTTTATCTTATACACACACGAACAATAATACCTGATGTTTTACTTTATCTTATATACACATGAACAATAATACCCAATGTTTTACTTTATCTTATACACTCTATTTTTCAACAGAAAACACCTGTTTAACAACTGATTATACATTTTTTGTTGAAAATGTTTTTAACTCTGGCTCAGTATTTACAAATTGAAATTGTCTTCCAGGAGGATGGTGTATCAAGAGATATTTTAAAACCTTACAGTGCTAAGTTAACTCATTATTTCTAAACAAAGAAAATGATGGCTATTGAAGCAAAGCCAGTCATAAACTTACTATATATATACACACACACGTATTTTAAAACCTTACAGTGCTTATTAAGTTTATGACTGGCTTTGCTTCAATAGCCTTCATTTTCTTTGTTTAGAAATAATGAGTTAACTTTACACACACACACATATTTTAAAACCTTACAGTGTTAAGTTAACTCATTATTTCTAAACAAAGAAAATGAAGGCTATTGAAGCAAAGCCAGTCATAAACTTAAAATATATAGACACACACACACCATGTTTTAACTGAATAATTAGCATGTAACATTCTTATTCATAAACATACCTTGCCAAACTGGGTTTTATATGACTGGATAATTTGTTGTCTTTGTGTATTCACTCGCCTAGCTAGTATGTTTATTATAGCCTTTTCATCTGTTCCTATTGTTAAAAGAAACTTTGAGAAACAATAATATCATAGAAAAGTCTCTATAGAATCAGTTTTAAGTTAACTAAAACCCTTCGGGAGAATAACCTATGACTATTCATGACATCTTAAAGGTATAAACTTACTAACAGATTCCTTTTTCTTGCTTTTAAGTCTTCAAATATGTTATTACAATTATATCAAAGTATTACCGTACAAAGGTGGTAAAAGAATGGATTTAAAATGATGGTATTATTGTAGGCTACATATTTTTAATGTTGTAATTTATTTGGTAGCTAGAGAGAATTTTGATGATTTAATACCTAGGAAAGAGGTAGATAATAGAAATGACACTATGGGAAGTATCAAGTCATCATGATACTTTTCCTAAGTAAGTTGATTTTAATGTAGAGTGTAAACATAGGCCTAACGACACTACGGGAAGTATAAAATCATCACGATACTTTATCTAAGTAAGTTGATTTTAATGTAGAGTGTAAACATAGGCCTAATGACACTATGGGAAGTATAAAATCATCACGATACTTTACCTAAGTAAGTTGATTTTAATGTAGAGTGTAAACATAGGCCTAATGACACTAGGGGAAGTATAAAATCATCACGATACTTTACTTAAGTAAGTTGATTTTAATGTAGAGTGTAAATATAGGCCTAACGACACTATGGGAATTATAAAATCATCACGATACTTTACCTAAGTAAGTTGATTTTAATGTAGAGTGTAAACATAGGCCTAACGACACTAGGGGAAGTATAAAATCATCACGATACTTTACCTAAGTAAGTTGATTTTAATGTAGAGTGTAAATATAGGCCTAACGACACTACGGGAAGTATAAAATCATCACGATACTTTACCTAAGTAAGTCAGTTTTAATGTAGAGTGTAAACATAGGCCTAATGTCACTACGGGAAGTATCAAGTCATCATGATACTTTTCCTAAGTAAGTTGATTTTAATGTAGAGTGTAAACGTAGGCCTAACAACACTATGGGAAGTATAAAATCATCACGATACTTTATCTAAGTAAGTCAGTTTTAATGTAGAGTGTAAACATAGGCCTAAAATATTGCCTAATGACACTACGGGAAGTATCAAGTCATCATGATACTTTTCCTAAGTAAGTTGATTTTAATGTAGAGTGTAAACATAGGCCTAACCAATTTATCACAATTTATAAGCAGTTTCAGCTTGTAGAAATATTTAAAAAAACAAAAAATGTGGCAGGTAGTTTGTTTTTAAAGGAAAGATGAACTTTCCTAAACTGAGATGATCAGGGATATTGATATCCCACTTTGCCTTGCTTGCAAGAAAGAAAAATTTGCTAAGATCATGGGGTTAAAAGAAATTTTGGAGTTAATTGATATCTGCTAATTGGTTGGTTTAGAGATCTGGCAGATGTCCATGAAGTAGAGAGAAGACCAAGGCTGATGATGACGATAAGAAGAAGCAAGGCGAGGGCATTCGACAAAGCACATCTCAATAAATGCCCAATGAACAGGGTCACCTGTTGGCTGGGATTTATAAATGCTATGCAATGGAAGGGATCAGATTAGATGTGGGGGGAAATGGGAGATCCCAGAAAAATCCCAATTTCACAAGACAGGCATCAAATAGTCTAAAAGAAATATTTAAAGGAGGAAATATATTAGTTTTGTCATATTGAATGGACTGGATGCTGAATTATTTTCAACCAATAATTTAAAAGGACCCACAAATAAAGAACAACATTTTAACTGTATTATCTCAAGCTTAATACTTTTATATGTCATATTCCAAAAACATGATACAGATAAACAGAAAAATTCACGTAAAGAAAAAAGACTGAAGCTACTGCTCAAATTATAAATCAAATGCTAAATTAGACATGTGACCTATACATTGTGTTTGTATACATATAGAAGTTTTAGACAAATATACTTTCAATATTTAATCTTTACCTACTGAAATAGCTTTGTCCAAGGTGTTCTATTTCTCAAATTTAATAAAATTATTAAAATTTTACGTTAAATCCCCTTTAAACAACACTACTATAAAAATTCAGAAAATTATTTGGGCTTCTATGAATTTCACCACCTTTACATGTTGTTTGACAAATATATAATCTTGGTGTGCACGTTTATGAAACCGAATTCTCCATTTTACCATAATTATCTGATTATATTTCAAGTTATTGTGGAACCTCACCATGGTCAATAATGATATCGACATCTTTATTTCATTTTCAAACTTACACATTTCAAGCATTAAGCCTTAACTCAAGTTTAGGTTGCTAACATTAAAAAAAAACAGCAATTCAACATTATAAAGCAGTATTTTATCTTCTCTGTTAATCATCACATTTTACCATTTTTAGTTTCAGTTTTAAGCAGTTATGAAATTCATATATTTGATTTTAAAGAATGTTTAGTCAAAGATATACCGGGAAAATATATCTAATCTGTCTAATAGTCTTCTTCTTTTTTATTAAAATCAGAAGTATCCAGAGATATAGTTTTTACAATAGGTGACATTTTAAAAATATTATAAAAATATTACTATCATTTTATATGTTTTTGGGAGCCACTGACATTACACGATATCAATATCTATTAAAGTTTATCTGATTGGCTAATCGGTTTTATGGCTAACCTCATGCAGTTGTATAAAGTTAATTAACTTCAAAAGTTACTGAATATATCAAGGTAGAAGTATCAATACTCTAATACTTACCCAACCCTTTCATTGCCTTTCTTAGGGCTTGGGCATCAGACTCGGGGTCAAATGGCTCAGATGGTAACACTGTTCCTTGTTCCTGTCAATTCAAATATTACTTGTGGGTTCTTGTAATAGTAAGTAACATTTTATTATAAAACGTTTTATTCTTACAAACACTAATCAGCTAGAACAGCCAATCTATTCTTTTTATTTTTTAATTCTGATTAATTTTCAAAGCATCTGTGTAGTTTCATTTTATATAATTATCAATGTATAGTACTATAAAAATAAAAGACCCAAAACTCAAGTGCTTTTCAACAGTAAGAAGAAGAATCAACTATTTGAAAGCACCTGAGTTTTGGTGTTGTTTTTTTTTAATTCATTGCACCTTTGTATGAGATCCTGTGTGCTAACTCTAATTATCTAACTTATACAATTATGTTTAGAATCTAGCTATTTTCTTTGGAACTATCAGTACTTCAAAAATGAAGGATTGTACTCCAATGGACTCTCTTGTTTTTATTGAAATTTATATGAAACATTTTGAAACTATAGCCATTTCATCTTCACTACACCTTCCTTGATTTTAGCTTTGATAAGTTGATCCTGTTGTTTAATAACTGTCTTGCACCTGTAAAAGGCTTAGGTAATTGAGTCAAAAGCTTGTGCATTAAAAAAACTCAAATATTGTGGTGATAGTCCATATAAATTACTTAATACAAATATGAGTACTCACGTTAAAAGCAATGAATAGTTAAATGGTTTATCTTTTGACAAATTCCAACCAACCTTTCTCAAACATCTAAAGCTCTGTGCACCATGTAACTCAGCTGCAGAGCACAAGAAACAGTTGTTGGCTGATTGTGAAATGGAATGTGTTACTTCTGTATTAACAAATATGATTCATGTTACAATTATTTTATGATTACAATTTCCACCAGGTGTTTAAACTGATATTGTTACAAGCCAAGTTTATGAACTGATGTTGTTACATGCCAAATCTTTGAACTGATGTCGTTACAAGCCATTCCTGTTGTGTAATTGCTAGCTCTTACATTCAGTAAAAGTAATAAGTAATTACCATACAGTAATAAGTCAACTGTTCAGCATGACCAGAAGGAAGCTATCATTTACAAGTCAATTGTTCAGACTAATATCATTACAAGCCAGATGTTGAAACTAATATTGTTACACCAGATGTTGAAACTAATATTGTTACAAGCCTAATGTTGAAACTAATATTGTTACAAGGCAGGTGTTGAAACTAATATTGTTACAAGCCAGATGTTAAAACTAATATTGTTACACACCAGGTGTTTAAACTGATATTGGGTGTTGAAACTAATATTGTTACAAGCCAGATGTTGAAACTAATATTGTTACAAGTTAGGCTTGTAACAATATTAGTTTCAACATCTGGCTTGTAACAATATCAGTTTAAACACCTGGTGTGTAACAATATTAGTTTTAACATCTGGCTTGTAACAATATTAGTTTCAACACCTGGCTTGTAACAATATTAGTTTCAACATCAGGCTTGTAACAATGTCTGTTATAATAGTGTATTATATTATTTCCATAGGAAATCAGTGTGGTATTTCTCATTGGAATATCCTCTATAAATGAACTACAAATACTAAGACTGTTTGGAAAATACAAGAAAATTTTATATAGACAGATAACAAATTAAATCAGTATTTACTTTATTCTTCTTTTAATCAATTTTAATGTGATATTTTATTATTATTATTACTAAATTAATGTTTTACAAAGATATTCAAGAAATAACAATAAATTTAATTATTTAACACAGTGATAAAATTGAACCATTTAATTAAAGTATTAAGTATATAAGAATAAAAAATTAGCTTATATTCCATCTTTGGTGATAAATATTTTACTGATGTACACGATATACTGAACCTTTTATATGGATCTATAATCAGGTAATAATTAGATTTTTTAATTTGTAACTGGTTTTTATTTTCTTATCATTTTATATATTTTTAATCTAAACCTTAAATTGTTTCATAATTTGGTCAAAGACTTAAGCAACAAAATATGTATTAACATACACAAAGATATTTCTTAAAAAGAAACACATTTTATGTATATAATATCATATTAGAATCACAAAAAATATATAATACAGCAGCAAATAATTATTCACAGCACAGATAAATAATCATGTTATTTAATCTAAGACAATTAAAAAAATACTTACATAATGCGACATTTTGACTGACTGAACTATTTAAGTGTGCAGTTTTGAGTTTAATTCGTAGGTGTCTGCAGAATAGGTGGAGATACTGGTGTTAGTTGGAACTTGTCCTAATAAGAATAATAACCTGGTTTAGAGAGTAACAAAAACATGTTTGCCATAACCCAGTATTTCATGTACAAAATAATTTTACAAAAAAAGATTAGTCTGGTTAACTTGTAAGGACATAAAAGATGCCAATGCTAAACTAAGTTAATAATTTTAAACTAATATATATAAAACTTGATCACTAAGTAGAACCAGCCAATCACAATGTGATGTCTTGTTTTAAATTATTAAAAAGTTTAAAGATATGTTTCATCAAAACATTTTTATGGATGTCTGAATTAATAGATCAGATTTTAAGCACCTACATAGTGATCTATCTATGAATATATTTTATAATATTTTTTTTCCAGAAAAAAAAAGGATGACAATAGCTGTTATAACACAATGTGTAAATTATGCGAGAAAATTTGTCAAAATAGTAAAAAACAAGAAATAATGATGATTCATTAATACTTGTTAATGATCAATAATGTTTTTGTTTTCTAATAAGATTCCAGTTTTTTCTTACAAGAATATCACAAAGAATGTATACAGTTTGTGATATTACTTTGGTGATGGAATATTGCATAGTTACATATGGAAAGTTAAGAATGTATAGAATATTGTGATATGATTTATGAAATAATGTCAAGGTGTTATGGAAAGTTAAGAATGTATAGAATATTGTGATATGACTTAGGAAATAATGTCAATATTAGATAGGTACAGAAGTAATCTTAATGGAAAAAATGTTTACATTTTTAACATCTTCAGTGATATATTCAATGACATAAACATTTCAAAGATTTTAATGTAAAAATAAAATTAAAATAAAGGAATAAAGGTTCATCCTTTCTTTGGTTAGCTATTGGGATGAGTATTGTTTAGATGTTTCTCTCCAATTTATACTGAATATAAATAAACGTTTATATAAACTAGTCAAAACATACCACCAAAGTTCTTTAATTTACAAGGTTTTCTTCTAGCATCACCCCCTCATTACAGTAACAGTTTTTCAGTGAACTAGTCTTGTGGTATATCAGACTTGAACTGATAGAAAATACTCTAAAATATATAATTTTGCCTATTGGAACCTATATTTTTTAGTAAAACTTTTAATTTTATCACTATACCAACATAGTTGCATTACATAATCTTGGTCCATAAACACATTATGTTAAAAAACATATTAGTACTCAGTACTGACATTGTGTCAGTGATATGAAAATTGTTAATGTTATTAGTATTACTTAATTAAAGTTAATATTAGTATTAGTATTGATGTTAATCCTGTAGTACTAGTAATACTAATAAAGTTGATGGGTGTGGTTGTTTCGTTTTATGAATAACTCACAAGTCAGTAAGACAGTCTTTAAATATAAGAATAAACATATATTACTGTTGATCTGTTATCAAACGTTTGCTTAAGTATTGATACTTACAGACTTTGTAATGGTAATTTACTCTCCTCAACTCCTCTGTCCTCCAGACATGCCGTTACTTGCTACAGCACAATCGGATGCGGCGAGACCCTGGAGAATAATGTACCACGAAAGCAGGGACCATTCAGACACAAGCTTATTGTCATGTGATAGCTACGGCATATTCTCCTCTAGAAGCAAACGTTGCCAAAAATAAACTACATCAGAAGATGTGAATTATTGCTAGATTTGTGTAGAATTGGAGCATTTGGTTGTGTGGCATCCATTGCTCGTGTAATTTACTACATAAACAAACAGAAAGGGCCAAAAATCTTAATTTATACAGAAGCTAAAATAGTATAAACTCTTGTATACTCTCTCCTCATATATATGTGTATATAGTCATACAAATGCGAAAACTGACGACTGAAAATCGATACATTTATGTTAAGTAAAACTTAGAAATACGGTATTTATGGGAAAGAAAGTTGAAACTGTCCACGTACTGGATGTTAGTTGATGCGAAAACGCTACATTTTGTGGGTTATTATCATAACTGTCTTCTTCTTTCCAATACGGCCCAACGTGGCCTAAGACTTATGCCAATAATGGTTACCTTATGGAACTGGAAATCCCTGGGCCTCGGGTGCAAAAAGTAGTGCCAACAAATACGATTTGCACTTTTAGTTTCAGTGCGTTATAAGAGTAAGATTCAATCACACCATTTTTCTAAAATTAGCTGCTTTAGGAAACAGGAGCAATAGGCTGGTTACTTCCTCCGAGGAGCCATGGTTCTAAAGTAGGAACAGCTACGCCTGAGCCTTAAGAATAGGAGTCTTTGACCCAACCGTTTATTAAAACCAGTTATGTGACATAAAATGTCTTTTAATAAATAAACTATCCTATTCAAACACAAATTAAGCTTTAAGTTTCTCAAATAAAACTAAGGATTGGCGAAACTCAGTCTAATCGGGAAAACGATTGGTACTGTTTTGTTATATACGCATTAAATACTCTAATTAAAAAAGCATGTCGATGATTTCTAACGTCTTAATAATACAAAGAGTATAATTTTGAAACAAACTATGAAAACGTCGAATGGCACTTAAATATATATTGTTACGCCTCGGTTCGTTAGTTAATTTTCCGTAAAAATTATTTCCGAAGAAGCTCTAACGACACAAGTCTTTTCTTAAATAAAACTGGTTTATTCTTTCTGAATACAACTTTGCGATACACTTAATTTCAACAGTCGCTCTATAACAAACGATGTAATTCACAAAGAACGTCTCACGTGCCCAACAATATTCTCTCTGTCCGCAGTTCAATAACTCAATACCTCCCTCGCCTCAGTTCTTACTGGTTTATATATACGAGACAACACTATATCTAGAAGGATCCCGAGATTTAAGGAAGGGACGTGAATGTTCGAGAAGGACGTGGCGTGATACTAGTCACATGACCTCCGCTGACGCAACAATATATATATATACAGACTTCTTCAAACAGTACCTCATACAACAAGAATCACAAAACACTGGATATAGACGATATGAGTAAATTCTTGGATTTCTTATATGTATCGGCTAGGCGTTGCTTAGTGGCAAAAATGTTGGGTGCAGGAGTGGAAGATCCACGGTTCGATACGTGTTATGTCGCCTGAATATACTCTGCTCTTTTGGACGCATTTTAAAAGTAGAAGTTAATCCTGCTACTCTATTAAGAGTCCTGCGTAGGCGGTTAGTGCTGCTGACTGGTTTCTCTCCATCTGATGAGCGACTCTAAATTAGGGACAGGCTAGACAGTTATGCGTGAGCTTTGAGACCTCTGACATGGCCGTTTAACCTATGTATAGTGTACAGTGCCGTTCAGTATGAAAATATCAAATACTTAATTCTACTTATATTTGAAAAGTTTTTACTAATAGAAGTTATAACTTAAAAAAAAGGACTACGGCAACAGTCTGAACAACAGTGATAAATGACGTTGGGGAAGACACATTAAAATAAAAAAACAGCGAAGCTGAATGGCAGCCAAACATAAAAGTTGTATAACACAATCAGGTATTATAACACAAGCAGGTGTTTTAAAAAATAAGTTAAAAAACATAAACAGTTATATAACAAAAGTAGGTGTTATAACCACATTTAAAATAACATAAACAGTTCTTTAACACAAGCCGGTGTTATAACCCCAGTTGAAATAATATAAAAAGTTGTATAACACAAGCAGGTATAATAACACAAGTTAAAATAACATAAACAGTTGTAAAATACGAGCAGGTGTTTGGTTTGTTTTGAATTTCGCGCAAAGCTACACAAGAACTATCTGCGCTAGCCGCCCTAATTTAGAAGTGAAGACTAGAGGGGAGGTAGGTAGTCAACACCATCCACTATTGAGTTAAAAATGAATAGTGACATTGACCGTCACATTTTAGCTCCCCCCACAGCTGAAAGGGCGAGCATGTTCGGTGACAGGAATTCGAACCCGTGACCTTCAGATTTCGAGTCGAGAGTATTAATTACCAGGTCAAACACAATGAATTGTAATAACACAAATAGTTTCATAACACAGGCATTTGTAATTTCTTTACTAACCCAATTTATTCTTTTTCCTACATTGCATCAAATTCACTGGTGGAACAGTGGTAAGTGTACAAACTTTCAACGCTTAAAATCCGGGGTAAGATTCCCCGCGGTGGACACAGCAGATGGTGTATTTGCTCTAAAGCAAACACACGTATAAAAAACAACAATAAAGAAACTTGTCTTTAAGAAAATATTAACCATACGTTATTTATGACGGTGTTGTTGATAAATGGAATAGTCGATCTAGTTATAGGATTTATGTTGTTTGCACGTGATTTAAAAAAAGGTTGTGATGACGGTTTTGGTGTATTCTCTCTAGCTCGACTTTTTACAGTACCTGTTTCTACGTGGTTTAGTACATGAAGATAGATATATTTACACGTATGCTTACTGATCGTTAGTTGGTAAGGGTATATCTAAGAAAGATAGAGATCTCTCTGTTTCAAAATTTAACTTAATTGAAGTATGATATATGTTACTGTCATCTAATTCGATAAATGTTTCGCTCAATGTGTTGATGTACTGCCACCCGACATGTGTTAGATATTACTCGTAGAACTTTTGACGTTTGGCTTTCCATTCAGCTTGTGAACAAAACTCTAGTGTCACTGTTGTTATTTTTCAATTGTAAATCTGTATGAATTATCCGTTTATAGTTCCAAAGGAGGTTACTACTTTAGTTGCAACGAAACACTACATTCTTGGTGACTTCTGATAACAAGTTACCTTTCTTCTCTACCTCCGGTATACAAGAGGTGGTCAGCTTCCTGGTTACTTCTGATGACAAGTTACCTTTCTTCTCTACCTCCGGTATACAAGAGGTGGTCAGCTTCCTGGTTACTTCTGATGACAAGTTACCTTTCTTCTCTACCTCCGGTATACAAGAGGTGGTCAGCTTCCTGGTTACTTCTGATGACAAGTTACCTTTCTTCTCTACCTCCGGTATACTAGAGGTGGTCAGCTTCCTGGTTACTTCTGATGACAAGTTACCTTTCTTCTCTACCTCCGGTATACTAGAGGTGGTCAGCTTCCTGGTTACTTCTGATGACAAGTTACCTTTCTTCT